GGTAGAATCTATCAACCACTTCCTGAGTCTCTGTCCAGGACTGTAGACAAGGCCACTTCGATGTCTTGGGGATCGCTTTTTCACTGGCTTGGAAGAGATAACATAAGCAAACTTATCCAATCTCCTCAATATCATTTTTGAGGGTATCACAATGGACAATAAATGTCTCCCAGTTGAAGTGCTGACTGTCAGCATACGCCTTCTGAATCTAACGTAACCTTACATTTTTACAGACGTTATAAAAACTTGGGGTTAAAATCTTGACTTGTAGCATTCGCATGCCTGATTTGTAGGCAGTTATACATGCCTACAGACTCAACATATCCCAACTATAATATAACTAGCCAAGGTATTCATTCACAAGACATGTAAGAAGAGCACTTACTGTATTTTATTCCGTTTGAATTCTATAGATTTCATTAGTTTTGATCGTGTCTATCATTTCACAGATAATGGTCTCGCATAAGTTCCACTTTTTATTAGTTGCTTAATTTTATTTAAGGGTAAGGGTTACTTACAAATCTGAATCATTTTAAGAATACACTAAAACATTCATTTTCAGGTATAATGTGCCTCAATTGCAATCCCAAGTTATTAACTATTCGATTAATCCATACTTTCATATAGAATATTTATTTAGCGAATATTTATCTACTTTGATTTTTCGGATTGATCCCACTGAAGTCACCAATAAATATTGTACTTGTTCCTGTTTGTAGTTAAGAAACCCAACAAGATTGCATACGTTCAGCATTTTGTGTATGCGAGCACAGGAAAAAAATAATCCCTGACCAATAGTTCTTCTAGATCCACTAGCATACAGCCAATAAGCAGCATCACACGATATGCCTGTCAGAAGCGTTGTTGTTTGTGTAATTGTCTGGAGTGAATGACAGTATCTGTAGACTGTCTTGAAGATAATGTATTTAAAGACCACTTGGGCAATTCGATAAATTTATTCAAATTGCGTTATTGTTTGCGAATTTTCTATAGTTACGGAATTGTCTAAGGTTATGGAAGACAATTTTCTTTAGAGACAATTTGGATAATTTGGTTATTTATGTTATATGTACTTACACACTAACAAACATTCACTTTATTCAGTATCCATTCGTTTACCTGTAGTTTAGAACTTTATATATCAGACTCAAATAACTGCATTAGTGTGTTTTGGTAAGTACTAACAAGTAGAGAAACAAATGACATAAACTGCAATTACTTCTGATTAGTATTTTAGATCACATTTAAACTCCAACATTCACTTATTCACTTATTCACTTATTTGGTATCAAATCTTAATTTTCTATTCAGATCTCATTCATTACGTCCATATATAAAACACAAACAACATTTGCTGGCGCGTGACATTGTAGGTAGAAATAAATTATTTGGTTAGCATTATTTGGTGTAATTATTTTTTGTATTATCTGTCATTTAGATTATTCACAAAAATTTTTTTTAAAATGATCATCTTCTCGGTCAGATGAAATGGATGAAGCGCCTCACAATTTTTAAATGCATTTGTGAATGATTTACTGTAATTCATTAAAGTTCTCTAACGCTATATACGTAACAGCCCGTGAGAGGAACTGATTATATTATATAGGTACATATGTATTATTTTAATTATAGCGGACGTTTTGTGATGTATTCATTATGTCATAGACTAAATTTATTTCACAGAACGATTCAGTACACATCACGCGATATAAGCAGCAGAGATTCACAGTTCTTTTTGGTATAGACTACAGGTAGCTCAAATGAAACTATCTAATATATTCAGTATTACAGTATCTACTGTGCAAGGTGCACAATACATCAAACTGGTCGCAGTGCATAGGGGCTTTAGCCTAACCCGAAAACCCCCAAATACCATTACCATCTACTGTGCAATGATCCAAAATATTTTTGGATGGTTTGAACCCAAAAATGATCACTCCTTGTATAAGCGACTGGGTCTATTGCTCGATACTCTTCATAACGAGATCTCTCTCTCTTTGCGAATTTTGTTCCTGAAATATCTGTTCATATGCAATCTTTAATTTAAACATTATGTTTAGTGATTTGGATGATCTATTAATGACTAATTATAGAAAGAATGTTGGTGTATTCATTCTTTTATTCTCAGGAGTATTTTTGCTCTATAAACAATTATTGCATTCAAGTTCTAAACGTCGTCAAACATTTAATTGACATTCAACTTTTAATCGTTAATAAATCTTGAATCATCATTTAATTTCGAATCAACGTTTATCTTCTTCTTATTTTCACATTTTGCTTTACGAGTTAAAAATATTGTAATTTTTAACATTAAGAAAAGGTTTCAGTACTCATAATAAGTTTTTCAGCTTTGAAAGAGATATGAAATTGGCACCGATACGTCTTTCTGTGCTTTATTGAGCAATGGCTTCTCATATATGTACATACGTACTTATACATATGCACGCATACATACATATCAATATCATATTGTGCAAAATATTATGGCAAAAATATTTTGTGCCGATTGAACTGAGTCAATATACAAGAGTATATGTACATATGTATTTATGTAATTAAAAAAGAAAAATAATATAACACATTAACAGAGGCTATAAAACGAACACGTTGATCTTCTATAGATCAATCGATCGATAAAAGAATGCTTATGTATGTACGGCAGTTTGTGCATCAAAGCTAAATCTAAAGTAGCACGAAACATGCCATTTTATAAATCTTTTTTATTTTTTATTTTCAATTTTTTTCTATTTAAGTTATTTGTTCCACTTTGTACTTGCTTTCATCTCTTAAAAGCGAACGAATTCTCTTTACAATATTTACGTGTATTGCTGTCCTCTTAACCTGTCGCCTGTGTGTTTCGAGATATCTTTTTCGTCACAAAACTCAACCAATTTGGACTTTGAACTTTTACGTGTTATTTGCTGCTCTGCTTGGCTGTTGCTCACCGGCTAAATTTTTACACTACGTTTGCTGGCTTATTGGGAATTTTCATGTGTAAAATCATGCAAAGGCAATACGTGGGAAATAATGCAATGCCTTTTGTTGTTGTTGTTGTTGTTTTTGTGTCTGCCGCGGTGTACCCAAGACTGTGTGCTTTGCTGATGAAATTTACAAATAAAATTTGTACTTGTTTTGTTAATTTTCTGTTTACAAAATTCTGTTAAAAAATAAATAAAAACTTCATTAATGAATTTTCAGCTCATAATTTATTATTGAAATAAATTTAGTGTTTTATATAAAATACACTTAAGCAAGTAGTGATTTTGTAATACTTCCTCATCAAGTAGGATTTTGTAAGATTTTCATCACCTTTCAACAGCTAACATAGCCTCGCCGAGGATTAGAGAGTATCGCACTTTAATAAATATCAGTGGAATATTCAGGGAGTAAATTGTTGAATAGAGCGCCCTTGACAATAATCAGAGAGGATTAGATATATCCTAAAATTTAATAGACAATTGTGTCGTTCTTTGATAGATATCAGTGGCGTTTTAGGGGTGAATTAGGGGATAGTTGTCCCCTTACAATAATCGTAGAGGGTTACAGATAATCCAAAATTTGGTAGACCGATTGTGCTGTTCCCTAATAGATAATAGTGGTGTTTTTGAAGAGATAGATGTCTCTTTGACAATAATCATAGAGGAGCAGTGATTTCACAAAATTGGACAGATCAATTGTGCCGTTCTTTGATAGATATGAACGGCGTTTTTAGGGAATAGATAATTGTCCCCTCAACAATACTCGTAGGTGGTCAGATTACCATAAAATCTAACAGATCGATTATGTCATTCTTTAATTGATATCAATACCATATTCAGGCTATTGAATTCAGAATTGTTTCTTCAATTCTTGTTGCTGTTATAACCCAGTGAACCAGGGATAACCCAGGGAAAGTAAGATTAACAAAACTCGTATAAAGAATAGAATAGAGATAGCATACTAACAGTTGAACCACACTGTTTACGGACATAGACAGTTCTTGCAATGAAAAGCGAGATAAGAAGCGAAGAAAGAGATCGGTATATCAAAAATTAATGGAGATCAATTAAATCAAGATCAATTAATTTTTACGCCGTTTTTAATATTATTAGCTGACCATTGAATGTTTTTTATTATAATGTATCTATTCGACCTGTATATTCTCTGGATTAAGTCTTCAATAACTATTAATTGTTTGTTAACCTCAAACAATGGTTTCGTTAAGAGAGAGTTGACTCGGATGGAGAAGTGATTAAAAAAGCAAGGTTTCTGTTGGACAAAACAAAAATATTAATAATGTTAGCCAATGTTCAAAGCGGTTAAGGCACTTAGAAGAAGGGGCTTTGAAAGGTCTCGACAAATCGTTTTCATATTTACAGTGAAATGATTATAATAGAGTTCATAATAAAATAAACTAATAAGTGGTATTGGCAGAGATGCCTATTTTGGTAGGCTTGTGTGTCTATAATAATGGTATAATAATTTGGAAGATTTTTATAAACTCAAATAATATATTCCTTTTGCGGATGAATGAAATCGTGGCTTTATTAATGAATAGAGCCGAATTTAACTTAAATTAAATTATTTTTGTATATTGAGAAAAAGCTTTTGTGGACCTACTGTTTTATATTGTTATTTCCTAGAATATTAATTAAGAATAAACAAAATAATTAGCTACTAATTTCCTTATATAATATTTATTGTTTATGTTCTTTTTTGTTTTCAATATTAATAAAATATTATTAAAATAAAAAAAATTATCTTGTGAGATTCCAAAATATCTGAAAGAGCAATGAAATTAAAATTCTAAAACGAAACCTTGATCTTTTCGAGTTTATTTTTTATATTATTTTTATTTTTAT